CAGAAGCACTGTTGGAGCACACCAAGCAGCTCAGGCTGTAGCCTTTGGGATCAGTTACTTGATAGAAGTGAAACAAATCATTTAAACATCGAATTACAATCAAATGCACAGAACACTCAGCTTTATTAAAGTCTTTATTCCATATCCAAAAGGCTTCTTGAAAGCAGATACATGCTCTTCAGTTTCACCTGCAAGATTAAGAAGAAATAACAGTCAATTAAAAGGACTTTTAGTCATTAATGCTTCACTGCATGTAGCTACCTCATTAGACTTTTATCCCTTGAAATCCACTCGCACGTCTTGGGTACTGTGGCAGTACAGGACTCAGAGGATGGTGGCCCAAGATATTATTAGAATATTTGGAGTGAGAAAGTACTTCTCTTCCTCGCTGGTAGCCAGTTCCAGTCTGGACAAGATGGGACGAAGGAAATGAAGGTACCTGAGGGAGCAGCGCAACCATACCTAGTGGCACCTCATAAGTAGACCAGGCATTGAAGTCAGGGAAGGGACGTAGTGGCATCCAGTTCCATGGGTGGTTAAGGAAAGAAGAACTTAATACAGGATAATTTTGATAAGGAACACCACCAAGGAATGAATAACCATTAGACCACGTTGGGCGAACCTCTCCAATGGGGCCAACAGGAGCAAAAGACCAGCCTCCTGGAGAGCTTCTAGGGCCAACCCATCCTCCACTGGAGCTCCCAAGGCCAAAGGACCAGCCTCCTGGGCCAACTGCTACCCCAGTGGAGCTCCCAGGGCTAAAAGACCAATGTCCTGCAGAGCTGCTAATCCCTCCTCCACTGGTGCTCCCAGGGCTAAGGGACCAACTCCCTGGAGAGCTTCTAGGGCCAACCCATCCTCCACTGGAGCTCCCAGGGCCAACCCATCCTCCACTGGAGCTCCCAAGGCCGAAGGACCAGCTTCCTGGGCCAACTGCTACCCCAGTGGAGCTCCCAGGGCTAAAAGACCAACTCCCTGGAGAACTGCCAGGGCCAACCCCTCCCCCAGTGGAGCTCCCAGGGCTGATGGACCAACTTCCTGCAGAGTTGCTAGGGCCAACCCCTCCCCCAGTGGAGCTCCCAGGGCTGATGGACCAACTTCCTGCAGAGTTGCTAGGGCCAACCCCTCCGGCAGTGGAGCCAGCAGATCCAGGATCAACTCCACCTCCATTGGAGCCTCCAGAGCCAAAGGACCAGCTTCCTGCAGAGCTGCAACAGCTAACTTCCCCTCCAGCAGAACCATTGTGTTCAGGGCCAGAATCGAGTTCTTCTCCAGTAGAACCACTAGATCCAGAGCCAGAACCAGCCTCTCCGCCAGTAGAGCCATCATGTCCAGGGTTAGTGCCAGCACTTCTAGCACTGGCAGTTACAGCTGGACTAGTTTGCCCTGAATTAAAAGATTTCAACTAAACGTAAGCTTGTAAAACAAAGTTAATTTAAGCTTCTAGGCATTCTGAAGTTGAAGGAATAGCTTACCTTTCATTGTTTGAGGGAAACAAGATCCACTGCTGAAAAGCAGGAAACAAATGCAGGAAACCCTGTGAAAAAACAAACAAGTCTCAGTAGATAAACTACTAAATCAGACAGCATTAAATTTCACTACTCACTTCAAAACAAGCTTGAGCCCCATGTCTAACTCAAAAAGCAGCACAATTCATCTACAGCAAGTTGGGATGAAAAACATGAGGGCGCTGCAGGTTTGTGCTTTAACTGGTGTGTAGTTGCTGTTTACTTTATATTGGTGCAGTTGCAATTACAGTGATTAACCACACCTGGTAAAACCTGCATTTAGCTTGCAACTTGGAAGTGTTTTACCTATCTACTGAACAGTTAGGAGCAAATGAGTGTAACCCTCCAAGGGGAACAGGTTGTCAACCTAATCTTATATTGTTTATATACTGCCTGCTTTTTCTTTTCTTTCTTTTTTCAAACAGTCAATATTTTCAGGTTAGTATTGTGGAACTTTGACTTAAAAATGAAATATTGGGATAAATTGAAAATCTAAGATAACATAAAAGCTATTTTTAAAAAACATTTCTGACTTATACTTTCGTTTTTTCCCAGTACAGGAAACAAGCCTCCATAGATATGACCTATGATTCTGAACGTACAATTCTTATGTTTTAATGAACACTTAAACTTAATTTAGATTATGTTTCAAAAACCAACATTTTAAGTCCTTCCAGGCATTTCAGATGGCTGTGGAGTTGCAAGACTTGCTTTTTGAACATTTTGTTCAGAGGGTTACACCAACAAAGATGAAGTGACAGTCCAAACACTGCACTGTTGAATTAAAACATGAGCACAGAGGTTAATTATGGAAAAAATGAATGATCAATATAGCACTGAGTTTGCATTGAAAATATACCTCATATCGGTATATCTAAATCCTACAGCTATGTCAATGTTGTGCTAAAAATTCATAGGACATTTACGGTTGCACATCTGAAGCCTTACAGCATCAACAAAACCAGCTAATGTTAGCTCAGCTCAAACTTGAGTGTTGTGGTTGCAGATAGCGGGTTGGAAAGGTTCGTCAGCCAGCGAGATAGTTATGGGTTATTCAGGAAATTCATGTTCACCAAATCAGAAAAAATGGTGAACAAAACTAACTCGACTTTCTTCTTACTGTTCAATACACAGTTGTAAGAAACCTGATGTAGAAACATATGATGGGTTTACTCATGCCAGCAATGTTTTTGTGTTACTTGGGGAGCGGCTTAGACACAGGAATGTATTTTCAGCTCACTAGCAGTAGAATTTTGGCACCCAGTTATCCTGCTGCATTTATTTACAGGCCATAATACCCATTATTCAGTGAACATTATTGTATTTAGAAGACGTGGTTCACTGTCCGTAGAGTTAGCGACACACTGCAACATCTAAAACCAAGATGATTGACAGTCAATGCAATTTTTCTTATGTTTAATGTTTGAAGACATCAGTTCTTGCACAGCTGAGGGTCAGCATCACCTGCAGAAACAAAGAAAAAATATATATACACAAGTAACGCGTCACTGCCCATCTCTGTTCAGAACAGACCCTTTGTTTACTGGGTCATTATCAACGAACTTCATGTGAAACCCAGAGACTAGGAAGGAAAGGAGAAAAAGGTGTCCAGGAAGTAAAAAACCAAAAGGGCTGATCTCGACAGGAAGGAGATCAACGGTTTCAAATGAAATGAAAGTCACAGCAAAGAATAGGACATCACGTTTTATTCCAACTTGTAATTTTTTAATGTGCCTCGATAACAAACTTCATGTGGTTAGCATGAAATCTATAAAAATGATCATCAGGCCAAGGTCCAGCATTAGTGTGTGCTCAAACAGGTTAGAGGTTCAACATCTGTCAGCTGGGCGACGTGAAGAATTTCCTCGCTGGCTCTGGTCGACCTCTGAGGACAAAACAAACAAACCATGACATGAGAGAACTGAAACAACAATGCTAATATCTTTAACTTGCATTAAAGGGCTGCACTTATACTGGGAAAACTAAAACCCAGAAATTCTCCCAGTCTTAGAACTAAAGTTGATTTTACTAATACGCATCAGCCCCATGATCTTCCTCAGTATTTGCTCAAGAGTTTGTGGATGTTGCGTTAACGCGGCGTGGTCTTACGCATTGGCCCGGTTCCTGACTCGCCCTCTCACAGATCTTCCTGCTGTAGCTTGGTAACTGTTTAACTCTGGAGATGTCAGCGGCTGGAAGAAACGACCTGAGAGGAAAATATTTATATATATTAAAAAACAAAAACAAGGTTCAGTGCTTCCTTCTTTGTATTAAGAGGTCCAGTTACACTGTGAAAGAAAACAAAGGAGGCTGAGGCAGTCGGACGAGTCACAGCGATGGTTAAACAGGCCTCGGGTTTCCCGAAAAATTTAAAAAGGTGCACACTCACCTTGCCCTTCACTCTGGCCCATCTTACTGGTGGAGGAAGAGGGGGGGATTTGGCCAATGAGGATACGCCTCCAGTAATCTTCAGGGAGGGACAACAGGCGGCAGACAACCTGCAGTGAGAGCAACGAGAGCACTCAAAATGAACTCTGAAGATGCAGAGGATAGAGAAATTAATACTATAAAGACATTTGAAAGCAGTGTTACCTAGAAACACTTTTCACATTGCATGTGTGATCCACACAGAAATGTGGTCACAATTGTGAGTTAAGTGTCGTGATATATGGAGATTATTATGCATGTTTTATTTTGCTGGTTTATTGGTATAATTTAAATCCACAATGTCATGTAAGTTCCCTGTTGCCAGGAGAGTGTATAACACTGGACAGTAGGGGGCAGCAGCGTGCTTTGGGAACTGAGTTTTCCATTCTGGCAAGACTGACCAGGCAGCGTGTCGCCTGTGTTCACTTTCTCTCCTGTTTTACAGGATCTTAATCTGGCTACGCGCCCATCATAGTGGGGCCTGAACACATGCACAAACTGTGATACGAAAGCTTAAATCAAGGCAGAATGGACGACATCACTGCTGGACTGAATGGATCACAGGTGGATGCAGAGCTGGGTCAGAGCACGTAGTGAAGGTGTTCAGGAGTGGGCAGGTCGCTAACTGTGCAGACTGTAACATCCGGAGCAGAGCCGCCAACTGAGACTGTGTCAGGCCTGAAGAGCCGGGGGGGGCAACAGGGTTAGGGTTGCTGAAACTTTTTCTGACTATGTAGCAGCTACGAGGTCAGATATCAACTGCTAGCAGTGACCGGTTCAGTCTGTACTTTATCGTGACTGAAACCAACCATTATCCAAAATTATCCCCCCCCCAAACTTCCGGTCTGGATATTTAGAGAGGCTGACCTTCAGCTGAGTGTTGGTGTCTCTCAAGATGGTGCTGGGTGATGGCTCAGGCATCCCGTGACCCACAATGGTTGGGCCGAACACCCGGGACAAGTTATTCTGGTCCATCTGGCACTGAGGACTCCTCATCACCCTCAAACATTAAGAGTTTAAAAAAAACAAAAAAAAAAAAA